GCCCAGTGAAATCTCACACTTCCTCCTTCCTCTCCCCTGAACGACATAGATTGGTGTGGCCCTGTACCCATTAGTGAATCAAATCTATAGTCCTGGAATGCATGTTGTGACCTGGAGTGTTCCAGGCTCATTCCTCTGCCTCTGGGAACTTCTTGGCCTCTCAGTTATAATTCAGTCTCTTGCAGGTCTGAGGTCCTGTCTTACCAGCTGCTGGAGTTGTCATCCTGTGTGACCTGACCCCAAACTCTGAGATAGTAACATGGCAAGTATTTCTCTTGCATGGTTACTAGTGAAAGAGGTAGATCAGGAAATGCAATGGCTTACTAACTTGTCAAAGCAAATGGAAAGACTCAATAGATAATTTTATTCCAACAAACCTGGGCATACCAAAGAGGAGAGTTATCTTTTCACCCTGAAGTCCTGCAACTTTTAAGGTAGTTTAAAAGGCAGAGTGGTTTAGACAGTAGTCTCTGAAGTCAGGCCAATTCAAGTTTGAATATTGGCTCCATCACCTCCTAGTTGTGTTACTGTGGCAACTACGTAACCTCTCTCAGCCTTAGTTACCTCATATGCTAAATGGGAATCATAGAAGAACCTAATTCATAAGGTTGAAACAGACTCAATGAAACATACACGCAAAGCTCCTAACAAAGTATTTTGTGTCTAGTAAAGTGCTTAATAAATAACAGCTATTGTTATGATGGGCTTCCCTGGTGGTTCAGATAGTAAAGAATCTGCCTGATTCTTTACCAGTGCAAGAGACCTGGGTTTGATCCCTGGGTGGGGAAGATCCCCTGGAGAAGGGAATGGCTACCCACCCCAGTATTCTTGCCTGGAGAATCCCATGGACAGAGGAGCCTGACAGATTACAATAACTGAGCTATTAGTGATTGTCAAGCTGTGCCGATTATTAATATATTCATGTTTATAAAGCTTTAATTTTTTATTTAGCAGAAAAAGGTGAAACTTTATATCTAGTAACTGTTAAAAAATTGTGTCAGTGCCCAGTAAGGGTAGATTGGGAAGGTTGATTTATTCACTGGTGGATCATTACAAAGTCACAATGGGTAACTTCGTTGTTCTCCTAAGCTTGTTGGGCAAGAATGTCAAGGATTGATTTCTTCTCCATCTCAGGTCCAGATTCTTGGCTGTGTCCCTTAGGCTAGAGGGACAGCACATGGCTTAGGTAAATGAGGAGAGGGAACTGTTCTAGAAATGCAGTGGTCAGGCTCTTCATTCTCACAGCTGCCCAGGGTCCATGGCCATCTAGGTTCCTGGCTGCCCCACGAAGCTGCCATGGGGCCCTTCCTTTCCTGTTCTCAGTCAAAGATAGGACTGAAGACGGTTGGAGCCAGAAAGGCCCTTAAGCATAATCCAGTCACACTTGACCTTGCTCCAGACGGGTGAACTGACACCCAGAGAGGAGACATGCTGAATAGGGTTCATACATCCAAGTGCTAAATTTTTATTTTTTACTTTTTATTTCCTGGTTACTCTTTTTTTTTTTTTTTGCTGCTGCACACTAAATGCCTACCTACTGATGTGACCAATATCTGCTATTGAATGAGAAAGTGGCTCTTCCCAACTAGGAGATGGTTAATCTTGAGCCCCAACATCCTGATGGAAGAACCGAAGCAGTGTAGGGAACTAGATGTGGACAACAAAAATAGCTCACACATATGCTAGAACAAGAGATCCTGGAATTCTCCATATGGCATCTCAATACCAAAGAGGTCAAGAGTTGCCTTTGCCTGAAGAGGAAATCTATGGCAACAGTAAACATGATCTGTCTCCACTCTAAACAGTCCAGAGATGTCAGTCAGACGTTCTCATAGCATTCATCATTAGGAAGAAGATGTATCACAGTAAGAACACAGATTTTAGAGTCAGAACAACAAGGGTTTGAATATCTTCTCCTGATTGTGTGAACTGGTTATGTTCTCTGAACTTCTTTCCCCTTAACTTTCTCATTTGAGAAGTGTGTAGTTGCAGCTGCTTTCCAAGATAATTTGTTGCTCATAATCTGATTCCTGTTTTTCCTTTTTTTGTTTTTACTTTAGTTACTGATTTTTTTTTCTTACAAGTCATGCCTAGTGTGATTTCAGAGGGCAGTCATGTTCATAAAAAGGGAGAGAATCTGGCCCCAGCTTCCTACCCTCATGGTTACCACCTCCTGAGGCTCAATCTGGGTGGGGAGAGGTATGTCTGAGGCCTGGTTTCTATCCCTTTTGTTTCTGGAGAAAATCTAGCTCTTATTTTTTGCTTCCCTTGGGCAAGCATAGAGAAAACTCAGAGGGCATGGGAAAACCCAAGGTTTTTTTAATCACTGGTTTCTGAGACAGTGCATCCACATGTTCCTTTATCAGTACCAGTGCTTCTCAAATTTAGTGCACGTTTTCTTCTGTCTCTAGTTCATCTTGAGATCTTTTTGTTTCTTCTCAACAACATGGCCTGTGATTTTATAATTATTTGTGAAACGTGAGAGGGTCACAGGGTTCAGTACCCAAAGCCTAATGTTTCACAGATGAAGCTGCCAAGTTAGGGAGGCCTGGCTTATCTGCAAAGTGACCCTTTAGTTCACAGCAGAGGCAGTACTTGATTTCTGGAAGGCTGTTTTCTGCATGCCCAGATGAAGAGATGTCTGTTCTGTAGAATAAACTGATAGAGTAAACCAGGCTTCCTGAGAAGTGACTTGGTGTGACTAAAAAAGAAGAGCCTATGGATTTGTGACTGGGCCATAATTTGGGTTGCAGCTTTGGCCAGACCATGTTAGCTCTTTGGCTATTTTCCCCTTCGGGACACTGTTTAGGGTCATAGTGAGAGTCAGTAAAGTTTCATGGGTCATGAGCCTAACATTTATCCAGTGGGGGAGCCCATGAAGGGATTGAAAGGAAACGTGTCTGTTATATTGGCTGGGATGGAAAATACACTAGGGCAGACGACGAGAAAAGGTGCACAGAGAGATGCTGAGCTAATCCACGTGAGAAAGAATGGTCTGGACCGTGGCAGGCACCCTGGGCGTGGAGAACGGAAGAGAGGCCTGGATGGGAGCAGAGGGAGAAAGAGTTGAGGGATGGGTGACTTCCTACAGGGCTGACCTAACTGAACAAGACTCCCTTTTGTGCCTTCAGTTCAAATCTTAGCATAATCTTTGATCTTTCTTCTGATGCACACTGATGCTTATCTATTCCGTTACTAAGCATATCAATTCTCCCCCATGATGTTAATAATTTCTTATTGAGTGTTTTCTGTACCAGAGTGTAGGAAGATGAAGTCAAATAAACAAGATTGCATAATGAGTTAGAAGGATGAGGCAGGGTTTGGTTAAAAATGATTCTTCAGACCCTGGCTTATAAATCAAGATGTTTGGTGGAAAAAAAATGCCAGATGGGAAAACTGAATCTGGGGAGTGGACCTTGAGTTTAGTTTTAGTCGTGTTCAAATGATCAAGGGCAGGTTTCAGGTAGGCACTGATTAGAGACAGTATGACCTCGAGTAGGTTCCTTAATATTCCTGAAACTCAGTTTCTCCATCTATAAAATATATAAACTGATCACATTTCTTGAGACTGCTTCTGGGACTTGAATACTCTTGCTGTAAAAAAGTGCATGTAGTGTCTAGAATCCTGTAAATCCTCAATAATATTCATAATACAAGTAGCTATTGTATTAGTTCACTAGAACTGCCATAACATAAACTGGGTTTAAACAACATAAGTTTATTTTCTCTTGGCTGTAGGGCTAAAAATCTGGGATCAGTGTGTTGGCAAGTTTAGTTTCTTCTGAGACCTCTCTCCTTGGGCTTGCAGATGACTGCCTTCTCTCTGTATCTTCATATAGTTCTTTCTCTGTGCATACCTTCATATAGTTCTTTCTCTTTTTCACTTCCAAATTTCCAGTTTTTTTAAGAGCATTGGTCAGATTGGATTAAGGCCCCATTTTAACTTAACTGTCTGTCTAAAGGCCTTATCTCCAAACATACTCACATTCTGAGATCCTGGGCTTAGGTCTTCAACATATTAATTTTTTGTTGGGGTGGGGCACAATTCAGCCCCTAACAGCTACTGTTTCATTATTTTATATTTTATTAAGTCACAGGAATATGAATTTGTGCTCATTTTAGTTTGTCTCCTAAACCTTTAATTGCATCACAATTATCTGTGCTTCTCTAACCAGAGAAGTTTGTGAAACACAATACTGTGTGGTCATGGTAATATGGCATTGAAATCAGATTTGAAAGGTAGCCCCAGTGAGAAGTCAGCCCCATGCCCCATGTCACTTCTTCATGTTTCTTCATGTCTCTCTGCTTTGCATTAAGCAATAAGGCTAAATAATGTTGTCATCAGTAGAACTTGCAGTGACCACTGTCTGTTTTCTTCTGGTTACAGAGATCCTTCTTACCATTTGGAACACCCCCTCCCTCATTCTTAGTCTGTCTTATTTCCGTGGGTCTGGCATCACAGAATACACCAGAAATAGAGGCATGATCCAGTCATGGCCTAAAATACAGAATATCGCCCTGGATTTGATATTTCACTCAGGGTTTCTCCCTAAAAGTCAAAACATTGCTAAAACAGAGACGAGACACTCTACTCTCTACAGAGTCTGGTCACGTAAATAATCACTAAACCACATGCCATTTTGGCTACTTTATAGAGTCCAGGTGGAAATGCTGCCACCAAAGAGGATGTCAGAACCAAGAGATGAGTGAGAAACAGCATCCTTTGAAGCCCTGTCTGAAGCCATATGAAACTCCACGACATCTTGAGTATGGGAGTAAATAAATCCCCCCTTTTGGCTGAAACTGCATTGAGCTGTATGGCAGTCACTTGAGTAGAAAGTCACCTGTCTCTAGAGTCTGGACCATAATCTAAATGCATTTGACACAAAGACTCAAATTTTCTCAGGTGAACTACAGGTGAAAAACAAGTGCTTCCATCTCTAGAAGCGGATTCTCTCAGGTGAGTCACTTCTGAAAGAAAGCCTGATGTAAAGATCCGATCACATTCCGTCCACGGTGGACGACGCTTCTGACACAGACACACGGGTGTTCGGCTCTGTGCCCACCTCCTGCCGGGTCAGCACTGCCCTGGGCACCTGGGTCACCACCGCAGTGCACAGGCGCGTCAGGGACACTGCCGCCCTCTGGTTCTCATAGAGTCTGGGAGCTCTTTGGCTCCCCGACCTTGGCTTCAAGAGACGGTGCTGCTGAGAATCTCTGTTGCGAGTGTCTTGCTTGGGGGTGAGGCTGGAAAGGCACGGCCTTGGCCTTCTCATTGTGGTGCTGTCAGCCTCTGGTCACCCTCTTAACTTCCCCAGTAGTCAAGCCCAGCCTTGTGTTGTCTCCCCCAGAGGATCAATCTGGGATGATTCAGGAAGCCCTGTTGGAGAGGGGAGTAAGTCAGGGATGGGGAAGAATACAATAGTGTTATTCCCCAACTTCCTGCTGAGAGAAATCAGGATTCACTCTACCTGGAGAAATTTCAGATACCACGTAAGATAGCCTTCTATGTTACGTTCCTAAGGAGCAAGACAGTGGGGGTACTTCCCACCATCTCCTGTCCGTTGATGGTTCAGGGTTTCTCCCGCGGGTGGTTAATTCCCCAGCACTTCTTGCTTGCTAAGCATGCTCTGCTGAATGGAGAAAATCTTTGGGCAAAGATTTGGAGCTGCTTGTAGTTGGTTCCATTCACATGGGGATGGGGAGTGTTGAGAGGATACAGGCAGGGTATAGAAAGTACTAGAGTCAGGTAGTAGCAATCGCCTTAGGCCTTGGTAGGTTTGTGGGATTGTGATGGGCACAGATGTGGAAATCTAAGATATAATTAAAGAACAAAATGAGGAATAAAAGAATAAGAACAAAGACATAGACATGAGAACACAAAAGTACCTAATGGGGCTACTTATGAAGTTGACCAGTCAGAGTAGCTGGGAATCATCCTATAAGAGTGGCCCAAACCAAATTGTAAAGGGCACAGCTGAAAAAAAAAAAAAGCTTGTAACATAGTTTGATTCATACCCAGACATTAAAATCTTAAAAGAGGTATCATTCCCAATACTGATTTGGCAAAGGTTTTCCTCTGGAAATAGTCAAAGTAAAATCTCCCCCAAATTTGTCATAAGTTTGGTGTAAAATATGTTTCAATGTCACCTTATGGTGGCTCTTGTAGACTTTCTGAAGACAGTGATTTTGACTAAATTCCCTTTTGTGTATATAGCATCTATCTCAATATCTGGTACACAGACGGTGCTTAAAGAATGTGAGATAAAATAAAGGAAATTTGCATAGATGATTCATAAGACCCATAACTGTACCAAAGCTGTCTTTCATGCTGAGAAATTGTATCAGTATTGTTTCTCGGTCCTCTCATCTGTGTAGGGCTCATTCTCAGCTATTAATACAAATCTCTTGCACCATGAACGATCAGATTCAGAGTGGCTTAGAGTAGATGCAGATTTTACATAGACATGTGATATCCTAAATGTGGAAAAATTTTAAGGTTGTGATACTGAACAAAACAACAGTAACTAAGACTTGGAAACAGGTTTTCAGACATCTTATCTCTAGTAATACTCCTTGTCTTGAAGTTTACTTCGGGATTAACACAGCTGATCCAGCTTTGTTTTTATGACTAGCATTTTTTTCACACATCTTCTTTGCATATTTTTATTTTCAATCTATCTGGGTCTACCAGGCCACACAATTCATAGTTGGTGGGGCTTATATTTGAACCCAGGTGTGCTGGGCTCCCAAAACGCAGGCCCTTCCTTTATTTCCACACCCTTTGTCTTCCGTTAAGTATCACATGGTCTTGTAGGGACCACATCAGGTCATATAGACGAACATACCCTTCCAGGTGTGAACTTATCCACTTCCTGTGCTGTTAATTCCTTTCTTCCCAGATCTACAGAGTTTGGTACAAGATGAGGGCCAAACACTTAAGATGTGTACGTCACTCTTGCTAATGAATCAGACCTCCAAATGATGGCTTTTGGTCCATTATTACTTTCTCTAATAATGTCTAATTTATACATTTCTCACAGGTCTTGTAGGTTAATTTACCAGGGGGGAAAAAGTGAGTAAAAACCTATTAGTCTTTTCTTTTTTTTCTGCCTCAGAAATTATAGACTTGGATGTTTCTATGAGGCGACATTAATAATGCATTTATCATTTCAAGCCCTTAACCTCTTAAGTTCTTCAAACAGAATTAAAAGAATCCTGAACTACTAAATAATTGCATTATGCGGCTGAATGGAGAGAGCGAACACCTCTAAAATGACACTAATCGGTTTATTCTCCTCCTCACAGCCTCACCACTCGGAGTGGGCTGGATGCTGTCACTCCACTTTGTTTCTGCTTCACAGCTTCTTTGGAACGTCTCACCAGTTAGGTTCCAAGGCTTCTTCCATTGTCATCTCTAGACCACCAGCCAGTTTTTTCCCCCTATAAGCAAAAGGCCATGCAAATGAAGTGCAGGCATAGTTAATCACACAACTTCCCTTTGTAAACACATCACTCTGGTTTTTTATTCTCTTTTCTGCCTCTTCTCTGGTAGTAGTTTGGAGGCATGAGGACATTCTCATAGGGCTTATGCTTCAGGGTGTATCATTTCGTCATTGACTTCATGGCCCAGCCAAAGATCATCTAGGTTCAAGGGCTGAAGACCGTCACCTTCAGTCGGCCCTGAAGTCCTGTCCCACCCACTTTTTATACCAGTGCTGATCAAGGCTGAGACTGTCCTATGAAACTGATTGCCACCGTCAAAGGGAATCTGGAATTAGTCTTGCTGCCCTGGAGTGCGTGTCTCCACTTCAGGAGAGGAGCACATTTCAGCACTCATCTGCATCTACGTTTTCACAATCCCAGTTTTCTCCCTCCCTGAATACAGGTCTGCTGGGTTGGTGCTCAAACTCCTCAGCAGTTACCAAACCCTGACATCCCTTCCATCCATCCCATATCGTGGCTAACTGTAGGTACTCCACTTCATTTAGTAGAAAATTGAGTAAGTGATTAATAGATGAATGCACGAATGGATGCCACCACACCCAGATTGCCTACCCAACTGTGGCTCTTATAGTACTGTAATGTGCGAGTACAAATCCAGCTTTGCTTGGAATACCCCATCAGACAACAGGGACCTTCCCGACCACCAGTACTTCATTTGCTTCTGCTGGCCACCTTTTAAGGAGTCTGCTTTACCGTCGGCTCAGTTCTGCCCACCTGGCCTCTCCCCTCTCCCAGTTGCCTACCTGTTTGGTGTCTGAACCAGCTGCTATCATGGTAAATTCAGATGAATCCCTTCATGGCGCCAAACATTGCTGTTATGTTTGATTAGCAAAGTAAAAATCTTAGTAACAGCTAAAATATATTTTTCATCCACAAAAGATCTAAAGAATGGTGATAAAAAATACGCCCTTTTATAACATGAATGTGAACATGTTAGTAGCTCAGGCGTGTCAGACTCTGTGACCCCATGGACTGTAGCCTACCAGGCTCTTCTGTCCATGGGATTCTCCAGGCAAGAATACTGGAGTGGGTTGCCATTCCCTTCTCTAGTGAATCTTCCCAACCCAGGGACTGAACCCAAGTCTCTCATGTCTCCTGCATTGCAAGCAGATTCTTTACCACTGAGCCACCAGGGAAGCCCTTTTTTTATATGTTTCCCATAAATTAAATTAGTCCCTATAGCTGCACTTAGGCATCTATTCCAAATGCTTTTTAACCCTCAGATTTCTCTCCCTCTTCTGTTCTGCCATTGTCACTCTGGGTCTTATTTTATGTCTGTATCCCAGGGCCCTGACTCACACCCGAAGTGTTAAATCTTTTCGAAAACTGTAGACTGGAGTACCTGTGAAACACACCCATCTTTTCCTTTTTAATGGGGATGGCCTCTTTGTTTTCATCAAAAGTTTCTGTCACTTGACTTTTTTTCCTCCCCAAAGACTATCTCCAGGCAAAGCTTGGGGGAGACGGGATGAAGACATTGGAGAAGGGTCTAGATCATCCTAATTTGCCTCCTTGAATTCTTCACCAGGGACTTGAAGGAATTTGCTTTGAAAAGTATTCAAGATGCATAATGCTTGCTGTACATTTTTCTCACCTTTTCTAGGATAGCTAGAACGAGTATTTGGACAGTTGGTAAGGACACAGGGAGATTCTTAAGATTTTATGAAATGGATACAAAAGGCCAACTAAAGTTAGACAGTTCATCTCTGGTCCCATAAGAATTGGGTAATTTAAGAACACGAGGACTTCTCCCTTTTTGGATTTCTCTCTCTCTCTCTTTTTTTCCCCTCTGTCTTGTGGCAACAGTGGAGAGTCCAGTATTATTTATTCAAATACTTCCTCTGTGGTAGAGTCAAATGTATGTGTGCACGCACACACACACACACACACGGAACTCTCCTCTATTTCAGTCTCTGGAAGAGTGTTTTATGACCACAGAGTTGAGGTTTGTCCCACCCTTGCTAATCCTGATTCTTAAATAATGGGATGAGAAATTCAAAAATACATGTTGTTCAGTCCCCAAGATCTTACAGTCTGAAAACAAACTTTTAGTTAAGTTTCACCTTGTCCCAGTTGCCACATCTTTCTGTTTAACTGCAGGATAGTGAAGGCAGTATATTCCCTTAGGGATTTAATAGCAATTCCTATCATGCTTGTGATGCTATTCACTCATCATTCCAGTTGTCCCTTGCAAAAACTCTCAGACCTATCTTCATTTGACACATAAGGACACCAAGCCTTAGGTACATTTACTGACATGGCTAATAAATAGCAAATTTAAAATCCAGGATGACAATATGACCCCAAAGCTAGCATACTTCACTGAGCTTCCTTAGAAAATAGTGTTTTCATTTTCACATTTTGCTGTTTTCACAGTCTGCTTTAATTCGGTGTCTTCCTATGGCACTTAAAATATAGAAAAAATTGAGGGGAGAAGAAAGAGAGAAAGTGTGTGTGCTTCCCGTAGTCTCAACTTCCAAATCAAACCGCATTATTATTTTTAGGATAAATTAGAGCTGCATGATCAGTGCTAAGTGAGACCACTTCCATTAGAAACCCAAGAGCAGTGATTACAGGTGATTGGGGAGCATTTTCATTGGCCGCTGTGTTTGGATTGCTCTTCTGTCTTAATCATAAAAGATCTGACCATTGAGTGGTGAAATTCTACTCCTAATACGAACCGAGTACCTCTCATATTGGCATATCTTGTGAAGCAAATTAGCCATCTAATAGATCACACGATGACATGTAGAGAAGTCAAATGTAGCAT